GCCGCCGCCCCCCACCCCAAGGGCCTTGGCTTCTCCTTAGAGCCGGCTGTCCCGCCGGAAGTCCCCACCGCTCTCCACTGCACTTCACCACTCTCCACCGCACTCCACCGCTCCCCACCGCACTCCACCGCACTCCACCACATTTGACTGCTCTCCTCTGCCCTCCTCCGCTTTCTCTCCTCCCCTTGTTAGCGGCAGTCAGCTGCTGCAGCCGTGGTGATGGCGGGCTCTTTGCTCTGCCTAGACGCGGAGGGTCGGGCCGTTGAGGCGTGGCTCATCGGCCTCCGCCGCCAGCTGACTGGGCAGCGCCAGGACGACCACTCCCTGACCATCCATGTCGACGGTAAGCTCCCTCGCCCCGCCCCGCCTGCTGCCCTCCCTGACGCCCCCACGTCTGCTGAGCGTGAGGCTTTTGTCGCTGCTGAGCTTGCCTGCACTGTCTGCGATTTGCGTGATGACGTTGCTCAGCTTGCCATCAGTAACGCCCTCCCGCTGTCTGAGCGTTCCCGCTTTACAGCTATCTCAAACGCCAAGGAATACTTAGATGCCGTCATCACGCGCTATTCCACCCCCGCCTCAGCCTCTGTCGGCCGCCTAATCCTCCCCATGCTGTTCCCTGACCTTGCGTCCTTCCCCACTGGAGACTAGCTACCGCGCCGCTAGCATTGAGGCACAGCTAACTGCCTTCCTGCAGCCGCTTTGTGCTACCCTTTACCTCATTGCCATGCGCCTGCCTGACCGCCTAGCCACTGCCCGCGACCACTTCCTTAGTCAGCACCCAGGTGATCTCACCCTCACTGCCTTTGTCACCGGCCTGTCCGCCATAGAGACCCGCCAGCGCACTATCGCTCAGTCTAGCGGTACTGCGCTGGTCCCTAGCTTCCAGGGATGTGCTCCCTCCTAGTGCACTTACTCCGACGTTTCCGCCGCTGTCGCTGAGACAGCCCCTGCTGCTGAGACCGCCTCTGCGGCCTCAGCGCAGCAGCGTCCCGGTAAGGGCCGCCGCCCCAAGGGGGGGCGTGGAGGAGGGAAGGGTGGTGGGGGTGGTGGAGGTGGGGTCGGGGATGGTGGTGCAGATGAGGGGACTGGGGCTGGTGCCATAGAGTAGCAGCAGTAGCACCAGCCGCCTCAGCAGCAGCCTCAGCAGCAGCAGCCACCGTGGTGACCCTCGCAGCTGTGGTGGCCTAGTGGCACTGGTGGTGGTGGTCGTGGTGGTGCGCCATTTAGCTCGGTGTCGGGTGGCAGCTCCAGTGTGGTCACGTGCCATTACCAACTTCATACAGGCCCCCACCGCAGCACCGTCTGCGACCGTCCCGATCACACCGCCGCCCGCTGCTACTACCGCCTCCACGACCTCTTCCGTCTCCGCTTTGGTCCCACGTCGGACACCCTGGACTGGTACGCCCTGGTGCACCGCTGTGTGCCTATCTTTGAGCTTGACATGGATCACATTAGGACTGCTATGTATGTCATGTATGCTGATAACTCTAGTGTGACTGGACCCTATTGCCCGGTGTTGCCTAATGTAGGTTTGCCCACTGAGTGTAGTTAAGTTTCTCCTGCTGCGTTAGGCGTAGGACCACCTGCATTTTTTAGAGGTGAGGAGCAGAGGAGAGGTGCGGCCTCGGATAGGAAAGCAAGCTCGTACTGCCTGTCCTCCAGGACGTCACTGCCAAGGGCAAGAGCACCCCCGACGGACAAAGGACAAGCAGGGTCAGAGACCAGAGTAGTGGCGTAGTCAAGGCGGCGGGTAGAGGCAAAGTCAGCGATGGCAGCGACAAGAGCGTCAAGACTGGAGACACGAACAGGTGGGACGGTAACAAAAGAGGCGAGGACCCGAGGAACAAGAGGACTAGCGGCACGGAGGAAGTCAGGTAAAGGAGGCGGAGCAACAACCAGCGAGGACGGAGGAGGCGACGGAAGGAGGGGAGGACGAGACGCGTGGGAACAAAGCTACATAGGGTGAGAGCGCTGGACAGGACCAGCACGAGAGGGATGGCGAGACCAAAAGTGGGACGGAGGCGTGAGGTCAAGAGACACAGGAGGAGAACACGGTGGAAAATGAGATGGAGACGAGTCCGGCGGAGGAAACACAGGACCGTACACAGGCAGGGGAGGCCCAGGCAGGCGGTCAGAGGCCGAGGAGGCGAAGGGCAGACATTGGTGGTGACTGCTGCTGTTGCTGCTCAACACACACACCAGAACCTCCAGCTGCACCATAGCTACCTCCGGGACGCTCCACGACAGCACCCCCAGAACGAGAACCCTCTCGAGCAGCGGTGCCACCCCCAAGACCGCCGGGACAAGCCACAACATTACCCCTAGGACAAGCACCCCTAGAGCGAGAACCCTCTCCAGCATCGTTGCCACCCCCAGGACCGTCTGGACAAGCCACGACATTACCCCCAGGAGTAGCATCCTCCTCAACGCCCGCAACCCCAGAGCCCGCGGACCCCTGCGGCGGCGACGACGGCTGCTGTGGCGGCGGCTGAGGAGGGGACACCGGGGCGGAGACAGGCTGTGACACCGAAGCCGCAGCGTCCCCGGAGTCAGCCGACTACATGACTGGGACAACCGACGGGAAGGGAGTGACGTGAGACACATCAAGCAGGGCAGGAGGGGGAGGAAGAGGAGCAGAGGCTACCGGGGGGGTGGGGACTAGGAACAGGGGCAGGGAAACCAGGAAGCCTCGGTGGGGAAAGCGGGTGTAGAAGGAGACAGACTCGTCAAAAGTGACGTCGTGGGAGTGAAAGAAATGGTGAGACGGCGTGTGGTAAAAATGCCAGCCAGACGCATCAAGCGGGAAACAAAGGAAGACACAAGGGACGGTGCGGGCAGTAAGCTTGTCCATGCTAGAGGCACGAACGTAAGCAAGGCAGCCACAGACGTGGAACGCAGACGCTTCACCTGGGAACCCGGTAAAGAGAAGGGTCGGCGAAACCTGCGACCGCTGGGAGTGTGGCCACAGGTTAAGCTGGTGAGCGGCGTAGCGAATAGCAAACGGCCACAGAAAATGGGGTGCACAGGCATGGATCATGGAGGTAAGAGTCACCTCCATGACCAAACTGATGCGTCGTTCAGCGACCTCATTCTACAAGATATATGGCAAGGTGATGCGATTGGGTGATGCCCTCTGCACGACAGAACTGGCCAAGCCGCTTGGAGGCGAACTCGTCGTCACGGTCGGAGTGGAGACGCAGCACGGGGAGGTCGCGGTGGACTCGTGCAGCTATGACCTACGGGATAAGAACGTCACGCACGTCGGCCTTCCGCTCCAGGGGAAACACCATGGGGTAGCGCGTGAAGTTGTCGACAAGCACGAGAAAGTAGCGTTGTTGACGCCGCCCAGGGAAGGGGGCGGGAATCCAAATGTCCATGTACAGGGTCTAGAGTGGCGCAGTGGTAGGGGGGAGCGAGGAGGAGTGGGGAGCACGGCATAGCCGATCCTCGATGTAGGGCGTGCACGGTGGTGTAGGCGAGGGAGGGAGGGTAGGGAGCAACGCAGGGAGACAGGCGACAAGCTCGTGATGGGACATGTAACGCTGACGCGGGAGTGCGGGGTGACCTAGGCGGTGGTGCCACAGCAGTGAAGGGTGGGTGAGCGACTGACACGAACAGGCTGCAGCTACCTAAGAGGACGCGGCGACCTGGGGGGACGCTCCGACAGGGGAGGACGCGATGTCCAGCGTGAACAGGCCGGACACGGGGTCCCAAGGGAACGTGGTAAGAGGGGCACCATTGGCAGCCTCAGTACACATGGCGTACCGCTCGTGTCCAGGGAACGTAGTGGTGATGCCAAGGTCCTGAAGACATCTGACACCAACTAGGTTACTGAAGAACGAGGGGATGTGCAAGCCTGTAAGAGAGCCCGAGGGGACCGCCAAACAGGGAAGGGTAGTGGAGCTACGTGCGACTACCAGGCCTGAGGAGGGGTCAGCAAGCGCTACAGCGGCAGGGGCAGCAAGCGGCGTGAGCATTGTGTGGTCGCGGAAGAAGTAGGCAGACGCTCCAGAGTCGAGCGTGAAGGAGAGCGAAGCATTAGCATTGGCCGGTGGAAGGGCTAGCGTAGAGCCTAAGTTGGTACTCGCAGGTGGCCACACTGGAGCCGCCACCCCACACCTTTTGCGCGCCCCACCACCATGACCACCACCACCAGCGCCGCCATGCCACCACGGCTGCGAGGTCCCCACGGCGACTGCTGCTGCTCTGGGGCACCAGCCCCTGTCCCCTTGTCTGTACCGCCATCCCTGCCACCACGTCCACCACCCCCACCACCCCCCACCACCCTTCCCCCCGCCATGACCCCCCTTGGAGTGGCGGCCCTTACCCTGATACTGCTGCGTTGAGGTCGCAACAGCAGTCTCATCAGTAGGGGCTGTCTCAGCAACAGCGGCAAAAACGTCAGAGCAAGTGCACTGGGAGGGAGCACAACCCTAGAAGATAGGGACCAGCGCTGTACCGCTAGACTGAGCGATAGTACGTTTGCGGGTGTCTATCGCGGACAGGCGTGACAAAGGCAGTGAGAGTGAGGTCACCTGGGTGCTGACTAAGGAAGTGGTCGCGAGCACTAGCTAGGCGGTCAGGCAGGCGCGTGGCAATGAGGTAAAGGGTCGGGCAAAGCGGTTGCGAAAATGCAGTGAGCTGTGCCTCAATGCTAGCAGCGCAATAGCTAGTCTCCAGTGCATGGAGGTGAGTGGCAAGGTCAGCAAACAGCATGGGGAGGATCAGGCGGCCGTCAGAGGCAGAGGCGGGGGTGGAATTGATAAATGTGTAGTGTTCTGTGGTGTGATTTGCTCTAGCTGGCTGTGGGCTATTGGGATTTGGGCAAAAGAATTGGGTTGGTTGGCTAGGTTTGATCTCGTTACCTTTCCAACCCATACTACCCCATACCCACTACAACATCTTTGATGTTGCAGCCGTGGCACTTGGGAGTGTTAGGGTTTGGTTCAGGGCGAGGGTTGGTGTTGTTTGATAATCAAATACCCCAACTTTTTCAGATCGAACTGCTTCCCTTCTCGTTTTTACTAGGTGATTCATGGCTGCCTAGCCAAATTACCAGAAGACCCCCTCACACTGATTTCGTCATAATCGGCGGCTCAGATCTTGGTTATGAACGTGCTTTACCATTCTGGAAAGTAGAGATTAAGACCTTTCCAACGCGTATAAGCTCATTTCTAGAAGTTACCTGAGCAGCACGCAATGATTCGTTGAGGTCGTCAGACTTAATCTCTAATTAGTTCTCTCCAGATTTGCACGATTTCCATCAGTGGTATCAGAGCCACGGTTAGAGGACGTTCTTTCCTCCATTGGAAGAGATATAGAGAGGCTTGAAGTGCTCCAGATCTAGGGTTTGACATGGCCCAAAAGTTGGATGGCCCTCCTAGGTTTACCGGCTCGGACTTTTCGCTATGGAGGTTCCAGTTCACACTATGGCTAGGTATTAAGGACCTAGAAAGTGTGTTGGATGGATCGGAGAAGCGACCACGAGCTGACTCTGGGGAGGCGTCTACTGGAGCAACCAGCCAAGTGGGATCCGGAGCTGGGGGAGCGTCGTTGAGTGGGGTGAAGGAAGGAGGAACTGCTGCAACCCGAACCGGAAGGTCGCAACCAAGTAGCGAGGAGTTGCTCAAAGCTCAAGAAGCATGGGATCGGAAGGATCGCCAGGCTTTTCAGTACCTGTGTTGGGCTTTGGAGGGGCAACTTGAGCTTCTTAAGATGCTGATTGACCTGAAGGGGAAGGAAGGTGCAGCGGCTGCAGCTTGGAAAAGAGTACAAGATAGGCACTTGCAGAAAGGGCTTCTAAGCGTGCTTACTTGGCGGAAGCGGTTTTACACCATGGAGCGGAACTATGGGGAGGGGGAGACCATGGTTCAGTATCTCCAGAGGGTGGATGAGAATGTGCGGGCTTTGGAGGAGCTGGATTACACGGTAGATGAGAAGGAGATCATCTATACTGCGCTCCAAGGGTTGGATCAAGCGGCTAATGAGGCATTACTACAGTACCTTCACCTCGAGCAACAGAAATGGACCAAGGTGTGGATTTGGGAGGTTCTAATTTCTGATGAGGCTCGCAAGGTTGATGCTGGAAGAGGTCTAGAAGGAGGCATGGGTGCAGCAGATAAAGCTTCCTTCAGGAAAGGCTATCAACAGCAAGGAGGTGGGGGGAAGAAGAAAGAGTTGGACAAATGCCTTGTGCCCGGATGCAACAAAAAACACTCTTGGAAGAGTTGCTGGAGTAGGCCTGAGGGATGGAAGCCTCACGGCTACTCTGGAGAGGCCCCACCAGTGACCAAACCTGATTGGGTGGAGAAAAGGATGAAGAAGGGGCTCTGGAATAAGAAGGGCAGCAAGGGAGCAACGGCCGCAGCTGCTAAGGATGAGAAGGGGAAGGGCCAAGACGACTCCTCCGATGATGGTTTCTCGTTTCTCATGCTAGGGCAGGATGCAGCTCTCGCTGGTCGTGCATTGGCTGATCCCAACTTCCTGGTTCTAGACTCTGGAGCAACATCTGGGATGCTTCCTCGCCGTGATCTCTTCACCTCCTACCATCCTCTCCCACCAAATTCGAGGAACGTGATTGTTGGGAGCGGAGATTTGCTGCAAGCAATTGGCACGATCACCATTAAGGGGAAGGAGGGGGAGCTAGTGGGTGTGAAGGGGGTCCTTCACGTCCCTGGTTTGGCTGCAAACCTCCTTTCATGCTCGCAGCTGGCTAAACAGGGATACATCTGCACTTTCACGGAGGGAGGGTGTACTGTTAGAAAGGGTGAAGCTGTGGTGATGGAGGCAAAGCTGGACAAGGGTTTATACCTTGTTCCAGCTTGTGTGCCTAATTGTTACAAGGCACATATGGTTTTTTCTGAGGAAGCCGCTTGTAGCACTCGCTGGAGGCAGGTGGAAACGGTGTCACCTGAGTTGCTACACCTTCGCATGGGGCACGCGGGGAAGCAGCAACTGCTGGAGTGTGTGAAGAAGGGGGAGCTGAAGGGGGTGGAGGTCAAGAAAGGAGCTGGGCAGCAGAGCAAATGTCCCGACTGCACGTCTGGAAAGCTGCCTAGAACCTCATTCCCTATCTCCTCTGATCATGCCTCGACTCCCCTTGAGCTGGTGCACACAGATGTGTGTGGACCGATGCAAACTCCTGACCGGGAAAGGGGCAGCAGGTACTTTGTCACCTTTCTTGATGACTTCAGTCGACTTAGCTGGGTCACCTTGGTGAAGACCAAGGATGAGGTGGCAAAGGTGTTTAAGCGGTGGATACGCTATGTGGAGAGGGAATCAGGGGCCAAGGTAAAGGTGTTAAGGTCAGATCGGGGTGGAGAGTACCTTGAGAAAGAACTTCAAACCTTCTTGGAAGAAAAGGGTATTACCCACCAGCTCTCTGTACCTTACACGCCGCAGCAAAATGGGGCAGCGGAGCGGCTTAACAGGACCTTGACCGATTTGGCTCGGGCCATCCTTTCCCATGCCGAGCTTGATAACACTTGGTGGGGGGCAGCAGTGCAGTATGCCAACTGGGTGAAGAACAGGATGGGCAGCAAGGGGCTTGGAGGCAAGAGCCCATACTCCTTATGGACAGGGAAGTTGCCGAATGTTTCCATGGCACGAGTGTGGGGGTGCATGGCACAGTATAAGGTACCTGACCAGCAAAGAAGGAAGCTAGATCCTAAGGCACAGTGGGGGATCTTCCTTGGGTTTTCTGAGAGGAGCAAGGCTTGGGTGCTGTGGAGTGTAGCTGACCAGCGTGTGATGGAGAGCCGTGATGTGGTTTTCCATGAGGGGCTGAATTTTAAGGGGTGGAAGGAGCATGGTACAAGCCAAAGTGGGACTTCTATTCAAGACCCTCATACGGCTTCTATCTTTGAGGGGGCATGGGAGGACCCTGGAGATGAAGGGGAGGAGCAGCAGGAGGAGCCAGAACCAGCTGATCCTAACCATGAGGAGTCCCGAGAGACAGATTCTACCCCTCAGCCAGCCACGCAGGCCGATGCGCATGATGATCATCCGGAGCAGCATGTGCCTTCAACTCCATCGAGAAGCAGTTGGCAGCAGTTGTTGGACCAGCAGCTGTCCAAGACTCCGAGGACTCCAATGAAGAGGGTGACTTGGGAGGAGAAGCTGCGGAGGCTGGAAGAAGGAGAGGCAACACCTCTGCGACGCAGTGCTCGAATTTCCCAGCCACCTGAAAGGTTTACCCCGGGGCACATTGCACGCATGCATGATCATCTTGTGTCTGATTTGGATGATTGCATGCTTGTGGACATGCATGGGCATGAGTATGCTCTTGATGTGTGTCTAATGGGTCAGGTGCATGAGCCTAGGTCAGTCCACGAGGCGCTGAACCGTCCAGAATGGGTTGAGTCCATGCATGAGGAGCTTGAGTCTCACAAGGTAAATGGATCATTTGAGCTGGTTGATCCAGCAGTGGTACCACCTGGTTTGGAGGTCCTCAGGTGTCAATGGGTTTGGAAATACAAGCATAACCCTGATGGTACTGTTGAGAGGCCTAAGTCCAGATTGGTGGTGATGGGAAACACACAGAAATTGGGAGTACACTATGAAGAAGTGTACTCTCCAGTTGGGAAGCATGCGACCTTGAGAGGTATGCTTGGAATTTCAGCTGCTTTGGGGCTTGATATCCATCATATGGATGTCAAGACAGCCTTCCTCCATGGGGATTTGGAGGAAGAGCTTTACATGCGGCAGCCCCCTGGTTTTGATGATGGGTCTCACCGAGTGTGTCGCCTCAAAAAGTCCATTTATGGGCTAAAGCAAGCCCCACGACAGTGGTACCTAAAATTTGATGAGGCTCTCATGGATTTTGGGTTTGAGAGATCTGAGTGTGACCCTGCCTTGTACCACTTTGTGAGAGATGAGGAGCGGATCTCCTTATTCCTCTATGTGGATGACCTTTTGCTCCTATGCTCTAGCAAGGCTTTGCTAGATCGAGTGAAAGAGTTCTTGTCCTCGCGTTTTCGCATGAAGGACTTGGGGGAGGTGAAGTACTACTTGGGAATGCAAATTGAACGTGATGAGAGTGGTATCTTGATTCATCAAGAGAGGTACATTCTTAACATGCTTCAGTCCTTTGGTCTCTCAGAGGCCAACCCCGTGCGTACTCCTCTCCCAACAGGCTTTGATGTGCATGCCTATGAGGATGAACCCTTGCTGCGAGATGAGCTGGTCAAGCTCTACCAAAGCATTGTGGGATCCCTCATGTATGCTTGTACTACCACACAGCCACAGATTGCCTTTGCAGTCTCACAGCTATCTAAGGTCGCCTCTTGTCCTAAAATGTTTCACTTGCAGGCCGCTAAGAGAGTGCTGAGGTACCTGAAAGGTGGTGTCAAGTCAGGTATCTTCTTCCAAACACAGCCCCAGTCTCAGGTCCAGCTAGTTGGCTTCAGTGATGCTGACTATGCTGGAGATTCCGCAAGTCGCAGGAGCCACAGTGGGTATGTGTTCTGTCTGAATGGGGCAGCTATCTCTTGGCAGAGCAAGAGGCAGCCCGTGGTAGCACTCTCTACCACTGAGAGTGAGTATATAAGTCTGTGTCAGTGCATTCAGGAGGGTGTCTGGCTGAGGCGTTTGTTTGGGGAGTTTGGCCATGATCATGCTGGTGGTGTGTCTGTGTTTGTGGATAATCAGTCTGCCATTGCCCTTGCACAGAATGCATGCTTGCATGGCCGCATCAAACACATGCAGGTCCGGTGGCATTTCATTCGGGAGATGGTAGCTGCGGGTGAGGTGATTTTGCAGTGGTGCCCTACCAACCGTCAGGCTGCTGATATTCTTACCAAGTCTCTTCCATTTGAGCGTCATGGTGTGTGCATGACCTTGCTCGGGATGCAGCCCCATGATGACAGAGTTCCCGCAGCAGATGCCGGCGTCTTGGTGCTCCTCTCCTTGGCGGACTCCATGCTCTGGGTGGCCCCAACTCATGGGCAAGGGGGAGTGGTGTGAAGGCATTTGCCCTATGGTGTTGAGCCACACCCAGCACGAGCAAGGGGGAGTGATAAATGTGTAGTGTTCTGTGGTGTGATTTGCTCTAGCTGGCTGTGGGCTATTGGGATTTGGGCAAAAGAATTGGGTTGGTTGGCTAGGTTTGATCTCGTTACCTTTCCAACCCATACTACCCCATACCCACTACAACATCTTTGATGTTGCAGCCGTGGCACTTGGGAGTGTTAGGGTTTGGTTCAGGGCGAGGGTTGGTGTTGTTTGACAATCAAATACCCCAACTTTTTCAGATCGAACTGCTTCCCTTCTCGTTTTTACTAGGTGATTCATGGCTGCCTAGCCAAATTACCAGAAGACCCCCTCACACTGATTTCGTCATAATCGGCGGCTCAGATCTTGGTTATGAACGTGCTTTACCATTCTGGAAAGTAGAGATTAAGACCTTTCCAACGCGTATAAGCTCATTTCTAGAAGTTACCTGAGCAGCACGCAATGATTCGTTGAGGTCGTCAGACTTAATCTCTAATTAGTTCTCTCCAGATTTGCACGATTTCCATCAGGAATAGCATGCAATGACTATCAGAAACTGAGAACTTGATTAATTAAAATGAGCAAGAGCATACATCCTTAAGTACCGAGCATCGGAGAGGATGGCAAGGGATAAGGGAGAATCAAAGGGAATCCCAAGGGAATCCTCCCAAATCGTGGGGATTTGGGATGGATTGGGTTGGGATAGGTTGGGGATGAAAACATAGCTACACCCAACCTAACAAATTTGTGTATCCCTAAAACCAACAAAGTGCCAACACACAAAGTTGTGTTAACCGAATTGCAGCCTATCTCTAACACACCCCCTAGGCTGCAACGTCGGAAGCCGTAGAGACACCAAGACCCATGGTACGGAGGAGACGATAGTGATCACAGCGTCCAAGAGCCTTCGTAAACAAGTCGGCGAGGTTGCAGTCAGAGGAAATATGCTTGACGCACAACTGCCCTCGCTGGACGAGCTCGCGCATGAAGAAGTGTCTCAATTCGATATGCTTGGTTAGTTGGTGGAAGACAGGGTCTTTGGTGAGGTGGATGGTGCTCTCGTTATCACACCACAGAGTCGGGGTCTGCTGAGGATACCCGAGCTCAGCCATGAGGTAGGTAAGCCATCGAGCTTCTTGGGCTGCCATGGTGCCTGCGTATAGCTCAGCTTCGCAAGATGACAATGAGACAGATGATGAGCGTGTAGATCGCCAGCTGATGACACCACTGCCAAGGGTGAAGCAATAGCCTTGGGAAGAGCGGCAGTCAGCTTGATCATCAGCCCATGAGGAGTCGCTGTATCCCTCGAGGTGAGGAGGGGTCGTGCCACCGAGAGTGAGGACGTAGTCCTTGGTGGCTTGGAGATAGCGAAGGACGCGCTTAGCAGCCGACCAGTGGCGATTGGTGTATCGACCGGCAGCAACGTAACGCGAGAGCACACTGATGGGGTAGGCGAGGTCGGGCCTTGTGCATATCATCGCATACATGAGTGATCCGACGAGCTCAGGGTATGCCTCATCACAAGGCTCAGGCGATGGAACTGATGGAGTGGTCAGATCATGCTGCAAGGGAAGGGGAGTGGCCACTGGCTTGGCATTGTCCATGGCAAAACGCTTGAGGACGTTGTTCACATAGAACTCTTGAGAGAGAGTGATGGTTTGAGCTTCGCGATCCCGCGAGATTTCCATCCCAAGGTAGTTCTTGAGTTCCCCGAGGTCCTTCATGGCGAGAGCGTCCCCAAGAGCTTGCTTTACAGCTGCCAGCTGATCGGAGTTCTTGGAGACGAGAATCATATCGTCAACGTACACGAGAATGAAGAACGGGTTCTCGTTCTTGCGAATGAAGAGACTCGGATCGGCTGAGGAGGGGTGGAAGTCGAGTGACTCGAGGGTTGCCTTCAGCTTCTTGTGCCATTCCCGAGGAGCCTGCTTCAACTCGTAGACTGGTCGATTCAGCTTCCAGACTGTGCCGGGTGGAAAGGGTAAGGGAAATCCTTGAGGACGCTCCATGTAGATGTCCTCGGGGAGATCCCCTTGGAGAAATGCAGCAGAGACGTCCATGGAGTGAATGTCAAAGTTGCATCGAGCAGCGATGTCCAGCAGGGTCCGAAGCGTGGGCAATTTGGCTGTCGGAGAGAATGTGTCGAAGAAGTCCAGGCCCTTCTTCTGCGTGAAGCCTTTTGCACAGTATCGTGCCTTGAAGACTGGGAGTTCGCCAGGCAGCTGCTTGACGCGAAAAACCCATTTGCCACGGACAATGTTAACTCCTCGCGGAGGAGAGACGTCCGTGAAAGAGTTGTTGCGAATGAATGCTTCACACTCCGCGATCATGGCTGCGAGCCACTGGGGGGAGTGTGGTCCGGAGATGGCTTCATCATACGAGTTCGGGGTTGGAATGGATGGATTTTCCGAGAAGTTAAGAGTTGGAGAGTCGGCAAGATCGGGGAAAAGATGGCAGAGCTGACGGATGGCAGCATTGATCTCGATCAGCTCCTCATGCCTATCCTCCAAGAGGCCAGGCATGGATGCACCCCCGGCAGGAGGAGGCGGATTGAGGGAGATGCGAATAGAGAGGGCGAGAGGCGGAGCGGGACCAAAAGAGCGGGTGCGGTGAGCAATAGGGACAGGAGAGGAGGGAGGTGGTGGGGGAGCAGGTGGGACGTCGACATAAGAGCGTCCGTGGCGGCGGCGACGATAGGTGATGGGCGAGTCAGGAGGAGAGGTCGAGGTTGGAGGCGGAAGCGGAGGTGAAGGCGGGGATGGAGGTGCAGGGGCAGGGAGAGGCGCAGAAGGAGAGGGAGGTGGAGGGGCAGCTGCAGGAGCGGGTGCAGGGGGAAGTGCAGGCGCGGGCGGAGGTGAACGGCCAACTGAGCCGGTGGGCGAAGAGGGGTGAGAGAGAGTGGAAGGAGATGGTGGAGGTGAGAGTGAGGGGGCCGCAAGAGGAGCGGCAGAGGGAGGAGGTGGAGAGGGTGAAGTATCGAAATCGGCCCACACAAGCGAAGGTGGAGCGGTGGGGGGTGGTGAAGAGAGGTAAAAAGGGCGACTCTCGTCAAAGGCGACATCGCGGCTACGAATGAGCTGATTGGTGGAGGGATTGAGGAAAAGGTAATCGGGAGAGTCCAGGTTGTGGCCGAGGTAGACACAGGGTTGAGCTTTGGGTGCAAATTTGCCGCCATGGGTGCGACGTTCCTGAGGGTTGAGGAGGACATAAGCGGTACACCCCCATACGCGGAGAGCACGTGCACTAGGCTTGGTGCCGGTCCACAGTTCAGCGGGAGTGATGGCAGGACGAAGAGGGTGAGGGTGAAGGTTGTACAGCAGCGTGGCATGAAGGAGGGCGTAACTCCAAAGTGAAGGTGGTGCACCAGCGTGAGTGAGAAGACAGCGAGCGATTTGCACGAGAGTGCGATTGCGACTTTCAGCAATGCCATTCTGCTGCGGACTGTGGGGAAGGGTGAAGGTCTGGCGAATGCCTTGGGAGGCACAGAACGCTTGAAGGGAATGGTTTCGAAATTCGCCACCACCATCGGAATGGAGGCACTTGACTGAAGTGCGGAAATGATTTTGGGCTTGTCGAACCCATGCGATGACGACATCGGGAACAGCTGCTTTGGAGGAGAGGAGGTGGACGGACGCATAGCGAGAGTGATCGTCAACAAGCACTAGGAAAAAAGAGTGCCCGCCACGAGAGCGTAGTGGAGCTGGGCCCCAGACGTCCATGTGGACGAGGTCAAGCGGGGCGGCTGCAGCGGAGGGCGAGGAAGGGTGAGGCAGCTGGCGTAGTTTGCTTTGCGCGCAGTCCAAGCATGGAGGAGCGGGAGAAGTGGCGGGTGGAGGAAGTGTGTCGGGCAGGTGAAGAAGCAACTTCTTAGACGCAAGTTCGGAGAGCATGCGGAAGTTGGGATGCCCGAGACGATGGTGGTAAAGAATGGTTGGGTCGGTGAGTTGACGGCAAGATCACGATGATGTGGTGGAGGTACAGTGTGCTTCAGTGGAATATGGAGGTACTTGGAGTGTGTAGAGGTTGTTGGCGGTCAGTATGAAGCGTGTAAGGAGGGCATTGTTGGTGGGATCAAGGAGATCACAATGATTGGAATGAGCTGGGAAGATAGTGGTTACCCCTGCTCGTTGAATCTCATGTTGTGCAAGTAAGTTGTGCCGAAGAGTGGGCACGCATATGCCAGTGACTGTGCCAGATGGGAAGGCTGGGCATGGAAGAGTGGAGGAACCATGGGCAACAGTTGTGAAGCTGGAGTCAGTGCCCAGGAGAGGAATGGGTGCTTGGTATGGTTTGAAAGACTCTTTGTCTCGGAGGACTGTGTGGGTTGCGCCGCTGTCCAGGACGAATTCAAGTGGTTTGGATGGTGTTTGTGGAGACGCCGAGTACTGGGAACTGGTTTCATTGATCATGGGAAGGCCAGGGAACAACAGGTTGAGACGAACATCAGGACTAGGGGCATGAACGGCTGAGTCTCGACTATCCTGTGCCTCAACATGGTTGAGCTGGCACATGCGAAGCCAGTTGGGCGGCTTGGAGTTGATACCATTCTTGGCAAACCAATCGTCGTCCTTCTTCTTGAAGCAGGTGGCGAGCGGGTGATTGGTGCCGCCGCACACCTGACCCGCACGGGGTCCCATCTTGATGACGTAAGGACAGGGTGGGTATTGGTTACGAGTGGGTGGCGGATTGGGACGCGATGCTGGAGCCGGGACAGGAGCGCGAAGCGCATTTGCACGAGCCTGCGCAGTGTTGTCTTTTTCAGCAGAGAGAAGTGCGGAAGAGACTTTGGCAAAGGTTAGCTCTTCTGGCGGGAGATGGAGAAGCATGGAGCGGGTGACATTGTAGGAGGGGGTTAGCCCAACAAGCAGAGCTGCTGCAGGGGCTTGCTCTGGGAAGACAATGCCGAGTTGCTTCAGCTCTTGATGAATCCCTTGAATCTCAGCGACGTAATCTGCCATTCCAGGGCACTCCTCCAGACGCACTTGAAACATGCGGGGGATGAGTATCGCCACCCCCACAGCGGTTTTGTTGAGGAAGCGGTCGTTGAGGTACTCCCAAATGGCGTGCGCGGAGGGGTAGTTATGGTAAGTTTTCACGAGCTCGGAAGGGGTAGTGCCGACGAAGACGCCAATGATAGCGGCGTCGGCTTGCTCCCACACGCTGTAAGATTCCTCATACTTGGACATGGATTCCTCATGCGCTTTTGACTCTTCCTCTGTGGCCGTGGCTGAGAGCTTCTTGGGAAGGGCCGGCATCTTTCCTTTGCCGCGATTGAGGAGGACATCCTTGAGTCAAATCCCCTCAATCTTGCGGCTTAGGAGATGCTTATCAACCCCATAGCTCCACTCCTTGAAGTTAGGGCTTGAGCCATTTGGGTCGAGGCGCAAGGGAGTGATCGGGTTTGAGAGAGACGGGGAAGGGTACGCCAT